AATAGGGCAAGCATTCCTGTTAATTTCTGGCAATACAAGAATGAAGAGTAGGGTTTGGACCAAGGTTTAGCTACAATGTCATTTCTTTTTGTTTGCTTGTTTGAAATTTTTGCTATAGGGCACATGCACTAGCCGGGAGGACAGAGAAAAGAAAGGGAGAAATGCCCTCCGTCCCCGCCCCAAGTGAGGATGGCCATGCCTCAATTCCTTCTCCTCCATTCTCCTCTCGGGATCTCCGGCATATACACACATGCTCTAAGCATGAGTTTCAAGCCATAGGATCCTGGACTCGATCCATAGTTGGCCACATGGGAGTAGAGCACCTTAACCACCAGGCCACCTGCCGGCCCTACAACATCATTTCTTAGGATGACTTCTTTATTACCATCGTATTAAAAAGAAGAAAAGAAAGAGGGAGAAAGGAAGAAAAAGAGAGAAGGAAAGAAAACCACGGTCGCTGTACTTTGAATGTAACCCTCAAATTCATGTGCCGGACTTGACTGTATTATAAAGTTGTTCATAAACTTAATCCCTTTGTGGTGTCTCAGGATGGGGCCTTTGGGCGTGGTAAAGTCATCACTGTGGGGCCTCTAGGTTGGAGCCCTGGCGGGTATAAAAGCAGAGGGTAGAGGCCAGGTCCAGAGAGAAACTGGAGGATACAGAACGCTCTCTGCGCTGCTCGAGTTTTTGCCTTCTGCCATGTTGTGACACCTTTGAGCTCTCCAACTACCGAAACTGAGAGTCCATAAACTCCTTTTTCTTTGTAAATCGCCCAGTCTCGGTTATTTTTGTTAGCCACATAATAACGGACTAAGACACCTGTTATCCTATAAAGAAGGAAAGAGGAATGTTTATAGCTTCTGGGTGGTTTTCATCCTTCTGAAGGTACAGTTGCCAAGGGCTGCCGGCTGCTTCTAAACTTGGAAAGTACTGCAACATGAACCATGGCCTGAGAGCCTTGGAAGTTCCTGTTGTTAAGTCATTAAATGTACACCCGCGTTCCTGGCAGCACCACTCTCAATAACCAAAAGGTGGAAGCAGCACGAACGTCTATCAACAAATCAAATGATAAATACATGTGCCTGTTGTGTGCATACAATGGAATATTATGCAGTCCCTAAAAAGGACATTTGAAGTAAAATAAGCCAGTCACAGAGAGACAGATACCATGTGCTTTTATGTCCATGAGTTGGCTAGCATAGTCAGACCCAAAAGCAGAAAGCTGAGTGGCGGTAACCAGAAGCAGAGGGTGGGAGGAGAGTGAGATGTGGAGTTGATTAACAGATACAGAGTTTCAGTTTCTCAAGATAAGAAAGGTCTAGGGATTAGTTGTACAAGAATGTAAATTTATCTAACAGTCCCAAACTGTACACTGAAAATGGGTAAGATGGCAAGTTTTATGTTATGTATATTGTTGCCACAATTAAAATGAAATCTTTGTTTTTTTGGTTTGTTTGTTTGTTTTGCTATAGACTACATGTGCTCACCAGAGAGCAAGCAAGAGAAAATGAGAAATCACCCCCAGGAGGGATGGCCATACCCTCGTCCTTTCTTCTCAAGTCTCTTCTTGGGGTTTTGGACACGCATGCACATATGCCTGGAGTGATTTTCAAGTTCCCTGGTCCGGGACTCAAACCACAGAGCTGGCCATGTGGGGTCCAATGCCTCAACCAACTTCTGAATCAAGGGACTTTTCCTTGCTAGATCGTTGCACTCCTGTGCCCCACTCAGAAGGTTCCAGGGATGGGGTAAGAATGGCAAGAGGGGAAAAGCAGGAGTTCATAGAATTTAGCCGAAATTTGTTGTTTGTGTAGGCAACTGTATTCATTAGGTTTTGTACTCTTGTACTTAGAAGTGAGTTACTGACACTCATTGACCACTTCATCAAGTGGCGTCCTCATTCTCCTGGGAGGACGGTGTAGACATGAAACAGCTGGCTTCATCCTCCGTCATGTGCTCCCTCGTGCCTGGACAGCCCCATGCTTTCAGGGCAGAACAGAGGAGTGCTGGGCTGCATGTTTGCACCTCTTGTAAGTAGGTAACCATTACCTGTTATGCAGAGAACTTGGCTGATTCTCAGATAAACGTGCAGGAAACAACTGGCAACTAGGCATATTAAAACTATTTTCAGGCTAGCAGGTAGGGGCAGGGTGGTTAAGGCATTAGATTCTCATATGACTGGATGGGCAGTTGGAGTTTCAGACCCAGTGGCTTAAAAATCATACGAGGTGCATGTGTGTGCATGCCCCAAAATCTTGAGAGGAGAGTGGAAGAGAAGGGATTGAGGCTTGGCCAACCCTCCAAGGGGCGATTCCTCACTCCCCCACCTTCTGTCTTTCTGGTGGGTGCTCACACCCTATAGCAAAAGCTATATATATATGTATGCTAACCTACAGATAGGGTGTCCACATTAACTATAGGTCTAAACCAAGTCTACTCTTTCTGTGAATTGGATAGGCTTGTTGTCAGGAAGAATGCCAGAGGGGATCTCCTAGGACATAAGAAAGAATTTGGATTAAGATTTTGTACTGGGTTGAATGAATGGTAGCCTCTGAAAAATGTGTCCATGTCCTGGAACTGGTGAGCGTGAACTTACTTGAAAGCGCGTTTTTTTCAGAAGTAATTCAGGATCTGGACCATAGCGTATCCTGAATGACAGGTTAGCCTTAAATCCAATGACAATTGTCCTTAGAGGAGAGACACAGAGGCAGAGTGGAGTTATGTAGCCGCAAGCCCGAGGACTACCTGGAGCCACCAGAAGTTGAAAGAGACAGGAAGAGTGCTCCCAGGCACCTTTGGGCGGGACCACAGCCCTGCCAACACCTTGATTTCAGACCTTCAGCTTCCAGAATGATCCTAGAATCAACTTCTGCTGTTTTTAAGTCACTAAATCTGTGGCGATTTGTTACCACAGCCCTAGGAAATAGATACAGATATCTTTCTTACAAACTCCAGAAGCTCTTTTCAGGGATCAGAAATCAGTCAATGGCTAGAGGCTGAACTGAAATTATTCCAATGTCAAAGATGGAGAAACCGAGGCCCGAGGTTTCCTGGTGACCTCACGACTGCGGAGAGGCAGTGTGGTGGAGGGGTTGTAGCTCAGGCTTTGCGTCCTGTGTGCCTTCGAATCGTACCTCTGTCCTTTCTGATTGTGTGACCCTCGCTAAGTTACCTGACCCCTTCTGACCCTCAATTGCTTCAACTGCAAAATATTGGGTCATCCCCAAAGTCATGATGCATGTTTTTTTTTTTGCATAGAAAAACAGAAAAATATGTCATAACTTTCCTGACAACCTAATAGAAATGATAATAGAACTTCACTCACACAATTGCTGGAAAGAAAACAATGTATCAAGCATTCAGAATAATGCACAGAAAGGACCAAGCCACAGCTAGCTATTAGGATTGCTTGCACACTCTACTAATGTATTGCTGCTAAACTCTGAATACCAGGCAAAGGATGAAAGAAGATGAGATACTTTTTAGACAAAGCAGGTGACCTTTATCTGTTACTAAGTTACAGATCAGTATCAGAGAGATTATTCTCTAGGCTGTGTATTCATCTGGGGGCTGACTATCACATAGACCGCTGCAGTTCAAGTCAGGGCCCCCACAGCCTGAAACACACTCAGGATACGGGCATGTGCGTACCCCAAATCCTGGCACAATGGAAGGATGGAGAAAGGACCAAGGCGTGACCACACACATTGGAGGGCGCTTTCTCCCTCTCTCCTCCTTGCTCTCGATTTCTCTCTCTGCTGAGCTCATGTTGTTCTGGCAATTAAAAAAAAAAAAGAAAGAAGAAACCACCATTCATAAGGGAAATCTGAATCTTTCTGCACACACCTCTTAGCCTTTCTTCTGTTGGGTGGTAGGTCACCGTTCCTATAGCTTGAATAAAAGTGGGGCAGGAGCTGGTAGTCCACATTTTTAGAAAACCTATTTCCTTCTCTTTCTTTCTTTCTTTTTTTTTTTTTTTAGAGGTTTTTGCTATAGAGCGCGTGCACTCGCCAGACAGACAGAGAGAGACAGAGAGACAGAAAGCGAGAAATCACCCCCCATGGGAGATGGCCACGCCGCAATCCCTTCTCCTCCATTCTCTTCTCGGGATCTTGGGCACGCACGCACATGCGCCTGGCGTGATTTTTAAGCCACCGGGTCCAGGACGCAAACCGCAGTCGACTACATGGAAGTCCAGCAACATAGCCATTACGCTAACTGCTGGTCCCATCCTTTTCTTTCTTTCTTAAAAATGTAAAGAGCCTCACTTTTGTTGTTAACATTTTCGGAACACAATGCTTTCCTTTTACCATCTCTCTCTCTTTAATTTGTCCCACTTAGTTAATTAAATGCTTTGAAACATCTACATTAAATGTTTTGATTTTTCTCGTGCAGGACTTAGGCTAATCTCGGTATTGTTCCAATTGTAGTATGGATGCTGCGGAAGGGAGCACTCAATTAAATGTTGTAATAAAAACATAGATTCCTCTCTTGCACCAAAGGACTTCCAGGATAAGATGCTGCTCCATTTAAATAAAAGATGAGGAACGTTGGAACAGAAGCAGCCTTTAACCAGCAGCCCCATAAATAAGAGAGGAGCGGGTGCTATACGATCCTGATGTTGGCTCTTGCACTGTGAATGGCTTCTTCCAGGCCAGGGGTTCTTAGCAAGAGGTCCGAGGACTTGGGGGTGGGGGTAGCAGATATGCAGTCCTACAGTGTGTGCAAATTTGCATGGATAAAACATTTTTCTGCATACATTTTAAAGCAGCCTATAACATCTATGAGCAACCACTGTCCAAGGCCTAATTGCTCAAGCTAATGGACACATTTTACGCCTTTGTATCTTCTTAAATGCCAATATAATATCCAGTGTAAAAAGAAATGTTCATCGGTTGCTTAAGAGAGACTTGAAGGCTTCATCTTGTTAAAGATGTCCTCTTGCAATGAAAAGGATCAGACTTCTGAAAGCAAACTCCAGTGACATGGTCAGGACCTACCTGCCCAGGAAGGTCCAGGTCGGGGTTCTCAGCCTTGCTGTTTTCACGGAACGATGCGCTGTAGGTTATTCCTCTCTGGGCAGCTGTTTTTTCATCTGTGAAACAAAGATTTGCATAAATAAGCCCTTTAAACTTCTAAACAATTCTGTTTCATGTGAAAGGTCATGAAAAGGATCACTTAGGTACATAATCTGTCACAGACAACTAGAATGAGTTATAAAAACAAGGCACAAAGAGTTACCTTTTTGTTTAAAATATTTTTAGAGAAGATCGCAATGACAGTTTGAGGACAGGCCATCGGCTCGAGATTTCCAGTTGTTCTCTGAGGTCTGCAAGGTACACAGGTACCAGGGTGGTGGGAGAACTGAGGTGGGGCAAAGAGAGCCTGAGAACCTGCCACCTTGCTTCCAGAAGACCAGTCTGCATCTAATCTGCTTTATACGTTAGGTATCTGGGTAAGATTTTGTTTGTAGGGCTCAGCACATGGCATCATGTTTACGTCACTGGAATCCGACAGAATCCACCACCACAGTTTGAGTCCTGACCTGATGGCTTAAACTCACACCAGGCGTGTGTGCATGCACCCCTAAAATCTTGAGAGGAGAATGGAGAAGGGGTTGTGGCATGGCTATTTCCCTGGGGGTGATTTCTCATTCTCTCTCTCTCTCTCTCTCTCATTCTCTCTCTCTTTCTCTTGCAAGCATACACATCCTTAACAAAAACCTCTCTAAAAAAAATTCTAATTTTTTTCTTTTTTTAAGAGAGACTTTTGCTACAGGATGCTAGAGAGACAGAGACAGAAAGCAATAAGCCCCTGGGGGGATGGCCATGCTGCAAACCCTACTTCTCCATTCTCCTCTTCGAATTTTGGGCATGCACGCACATGCACCTGGTGTGAGTTTTAACCCACTGGTTCTGGGACTCGAACTGCAGTCAGCTACATGGAAGTCCAGAGATGTAACCATTATGCCATCCACTGGTCCCAAAAGTTTCTTCATTTTAATGAATTTCTGTTGATATCCATTGGAAGGTGGGATGACAAGAGATTAGTTATTCACTGCACGTAAAAGTCTGTCTTTGAAAACGTATGTGTGGATACGTAGGCAGAAGCCTTTAGCTTGTCCCCTGTTTTGTCAGTTTCTCACTGTGTCACATCAGTCATTGTTTTCATATACAGAACAATGCCAGTGCCTTGTGCATAGATATCTGTGTGAGTTAAATGAGATAGTATTTGTAAAAGTGCTTTGTAACTTCCGGACCATAACTGGGCAGGGGGGGGGGCGGTTCATGTGTCTTCAGCAGTGAGCTCCAGGATCGACATTTTGTCCTGATCACTGCAGGGTTTTGTCTACTTGAATGAAGACTTAAGACATGGAAAGGGTGGGTGATGAAATGGGCAGGTGGACTCCAAGGTATGGGGTGGGAATGTAAGAGATTTAACAGATGACAGAGTTCAAAATGCCTGAGGCTAGACCTTGGGAGGACATGAAAGATTCTCTTCTTCAGTTTGAAAAGTTGATTGCCCAAGGGTATGATGGAGATATTTTTGGTTTATGAGCAGTTCAAGTAAAAAAAAAGAAAAAGACTCAGGAATTTTCCTTGAATTCACATTTTGAGCCAATAGTGTTGTAATATAAACACGCTGGCAAATAAATATTCGCGTATGTATTTATAGAACTACAGTGCCACGGATGAGGAAAGGTGGCCGTGGTTCTTGGCTTTGATTAGTGTCCTCTTCTAGCTGTTAAAAACAGTCAACCCAGCAGACTGAGTGCATCCATATGCAAACTAGATGAAGAAGGTCTGGAAAGTTTCCAATGGAAAACGTTGAGAGAAAATTTGGGGTGAGGAATGTGATATGGAGGTCTTAAAAATTCTGAAAGAGCACTCTTTTTTTTTATTTTAAAGAATGAGTTTAATTACTTAATCATTATTTTTTTAATTTGACCAGAGAGAGAGAGACACACAGAGAGAGAAAATGAGAAAGCAAGCCACCAGATCCAGGACTCAAACTGGAGGTGGCCATGAGGGTGTTCGGCACCTTAACTACCATGCCACCTGTCAGCCCCAATCTGAAGGATCTCAAATGGTGTTACAGGCTGTCATAGGGAGAAGGTCTGACACCGTTTCATCGTTTTCAGAGGTGAATCTAAGGAGACAGTGAACAGAGCTGTCTAAAAACTATGGACACTTGGTGAGGTAGTAAGAGCCTATTAGAGAATGTTCAAGCAGAGACCAGACTATATCTTCCGAGGGTTGCCATGAATCAGGAAGCAGATTTTAAGAGATTACTACCATTTCACCAGTTCTAAAACCCAGTTCATACTTCAGAGTTAAATATCTCACTAAAGAATAATTTGCTTTATTAGAAACAATTTTTTTCTTACTTTGTTTTTTTCTTTTCTTTTTTTTTGCATAGTAAACAACTGCAGGTTTTGAGGCTGGCAAACTAGAGTCTGCCGTTGCGTGATCTTCAGGATGTTGTCCAACCTTTCTGAACATTGTTTATGTCATTGAGAACATGGAGATGTTTCATTATTTCTGCGCTGGCGTGAAGATTAGACAACACAGCACCGGTAAAGGATGCTTCACGTTGCCTGGCTTTGGTAATGGTTCAAAGATCACAGTGTTTGTCACAATTATTATTTGCCCCTCTTGTTTATTTCATGTGTCTTATTTCCTCTTATTTAGAGATTCCTTTTCAGGTGCCTTTATTGAACCCTTCAGACACATAAGTATTGAATAAGGGTGACTTCCAGGAGTCTGAAAGAATTCACCATGAGAGAAGTTAGTATTCCTGATGGTACCTACTGTCTGCCATGTGTTTACATCCATGTTTGTTTTCCCTCAACCAGAGGAGACTTGTGGAACTTTTTTTTCCTTTGTCCTAAATTATAATGTGGTTTTCCTGCCTGCCCGTCAAAACCAGAACTGGGTCAATCTGATTGATTTTTTTCTTTGTTCAAAGTTTTTGGCAATAAAACTATTCATATGCTAAGTCTTGAGCTCTCCATTGTAGAGTAGACAGGTGTTTGCAGCCTGGAGAAGAAAAAGGGATGGGTAACTAAAAGACTGGGGTCAGATACATATCCTTTGTATATCTAATTTCTCTATCAATCAAGTGACTCTAAGTGAATTTTACTTAAAAATCACTCATCCTTCAGTGGATGAGTTAATGAAGGAAAAGTGGTTTACTATTCTTAGGAAGCAATCGAACACACGCGATTCTGTTCTCTCACGTAGACTGCCAAATAATACATACAAAAAACGCCGCCTCAAATATACTGAACTAAATGAGGGGGTGGTGCTGCTACCCAGCTCATCCTCCCCCAATGACGAGTCGTAGGGAAATACCTGACGCCACATTCAGTCAGTTTTCCACTCTGTCCTTTAACTCCCTTTTCCTGAAAAGTCATTTATTCTTAAAAGCAGATCCGTACTTCACCGCAGTACGTGTTCTGAGTTCAGACTCTTCTATGGATATTAGAATTGATTGTTAATAATTCTATAAATAAGAAAAAGTTAGAATTTATAAATCATTGAAACTGATAAATATTACAGTGGGGATGATCAAGTCATAGCTTGTTATATCTTAAAAAGTTGCATTGTTTATGATTACAGATAACTAGATGAATAGGTTGCATGACTAGATTGTAACATAACTTATTTGAAACATTTAAAAGAGAAATTTGGGCTATTTAACTTGTATTAGTCACACCAAAAAACCCCATGAAAATCAAGTTAACACATTCCCTAGCATCTAATTTAGTGAGTAAAAGTGATATTATGTTTTGATCACTTGAAAAAATTTATTCATTATTGTTAGCATTATTGTTTTTAATTTGATGAGAGAGAGAGAGAGAGAGAGAGAGAGAGAGAGAGGTGGGAAAATAAGTTGCTGGTTCTGGGACTTGAACTATAGTCAGCCATATGGGAGTTCAGCATGTAACTACAGTAGGAGGGATACAAACTGCCCATAGGACTGACATAGTCACTGTCCTTAGGCCACTTTCTAGAAAAGAAGAGGGACAGTTATGCAAGCATCCCCACGTTGGTAAGTACCATGACAAGGAAGTGCAGGGTACTCTGGCGCATAGAGGAGGCTTGAACCCAGTCTGGAGGAGTTGTCAGAATGGCAGGTGAAAAAGCTCTCATTCTTGTCCCCGTGTTTTCAATTACTCTAATGAAAAGGGCCTATCATGTAGCCTCCAGAAGCAAAGGTCTCTGAAGGCAGAGCCTCTTTTGTCACGTTCCCTGAGTGCCTGGCACATAGTAGCTGCTCAATTTAAATTTGTTGAATAAATGAGAATTCCAATGCTCCAGAAAAACAGGTGCCCTCTTTCTCTGTCCCTCTCTGGCATACACCCTCTGGCAATTAAAAAAGGGAAGCGGAAAGAAAAGAGGGAGGAGAAAGGGGAGGGAGAGAAGGAGATAAAGGGAGAGAAAGAGGAAAAGAGACAGGAGGGGAGGGGAAGAGAGAGAGAGAGAGAGAGAGAGAGAGAGAGACAGAGAGAGAGAGAAATGCGGCTGAGAAAATGAACAGGAATCCCCTGGCCAATTTAACTGACAAACTTTGGTACTTTATTTAGAAGGAGAGGGTTTTAGGCACCTTTCCTTATAAAAAGGATTCCATTAAAATAGGGTCTTTTGACATACTTCTATCTTTCCTCTGAACATTCTTAAACCACTTCTCTGAGCTCTCTCACTCAGGTGAGTACATGTGCCCCATGGTACATTAAAAAAACAATAATAATAATAAATATAAATTTAAAAAGGTGTCTGGACCAGCATGTGGTGTAGGGATTAAAGCGATGGACTCCCACGTGGTTGACTGTGGTTCGAGTCCAGACTCAGTGACTTCAAACTCAGGCCAGGGCATGTAGGAGTATGCCCAGAATCCCAAGAGGAGAAGGGACTGAGGTATGGCTATATCCGTTGGGGGCATCATTTATCACTTTCTGTTCTCTCTGTGTCTCTTCAGCAAGTATATGTGTCCTATAGCAAAAATATCTCAAGAAAGTAATTTGGGGGAACAAGTTCTTAATTAGTTACCACATAATCCCCTGGAAGACTACAAGAAACTAGGGCAAAGCTA